GTGACTGTGATTGTCGAAAAACACAAACATCGTTTTTATTCTTTGAGTTGAGTTTTTGTGAAGCGCGGACCTGTGAGGAGTAACTTTTTGTACTTGTTAATGAAGGATTGCACACGGTATTTTATATAAAGAAGTAAATAAAGGAGGAAGATAAAATATCAATTATAAAGTTGTAAGTATTATTATATCTATACTTAATCAATAACAAATGTTAAAAACTTTAATTTATCTGAATATCTAGATATCTGACATTTTGAGATGTCCCATAGGAGCCTACATTACTGATCATAACATTACACATAAATAAACGAACATAACCCTGGTTTACTATGGACAGGTGTCTTGTAACACATGCCTGTCTCTTGTACACCATTCCTTTATTTAAGATCTTCTCTACTACTTACTGAGAATCTCTGATAAACAAACCATTTGTCTTCGAATTCTTAAACTCAAGCTCAACATTGAAGATGAGGTTTTTTTTTAAATCGAATGAATGAAGTTTTACGTCTTACTTTTCTGCACCTGATTGAGCTAATGAAGACGGATAACGTCATGCAGTGTGCTATGATTGAAAATTTGCAAGGACCGCTCTATTAGCTTATTCTATTTCCATTTCCAACTGTCGTGCACATTTTAAAAGGCACAGCCTGTAGCACACGTTGCCTCGGTTATTATCCCATCGAACTTGTCACTTTTTGCTTAAGGGTATAACAATTTCGATTAATTTAAGCTGATCAATTGTATCTGATCGATATATAATTCCTTAAAAGTGCTAATAATTAATAATTCAATGAAACTTTTTGAAATTTGCAAATTATATTTAATTTAGACAGGATAGAATTTTTGCTAGCCTTGTCTTTACCAGAAAAAAATTCAGAAAGTCAGATTCTTTTTCTTTCAATTGATTGGACAGACGAAGACCAAACAATGATTGATGAATCTGACCCTGGATATTGATGCATGTGTCTTACAGCAGTTCGGGGATTTATGTTGCAACGAGCAATAACTTTTAATGTTATTGGTGTGTAAAATACATGTTCTATGATCCATTTTATTACGTTTCTTTTATTACCGTTTCTCTCCAAGATGCAGATTTATCTGGAAACATGACCAAATTAATTTAGTAAATCATTTAAAAATAATCAATTTTATTAAACTATAGTTCACCATCTGTGAAGAAAATGTTAATGGCCATCTTTAGGTTTTGGTTCAATGCAATAATTATTATCACAGTTCAAAACAGTTTGTTATTTTCAATAGAGATAGCATGTTTTTATTTTGATTAACTGAGCTTATTTCACAGGCTGTAGATGAGATTACCAAGACCTACTCTAGTAATTAAAGAAACAAGAATTATTAAAACAGAAATGACCATTGTGCATTTTCATAATTTATTTCACCAGAGGTATTGTTACCAGTAAAAAACAAAAGTCTTAATGTTATGCTCATAGCAAGTGTAACTGACAGTGTTTTGATTTGAGCAAAGATAAATACTATAAATTCAATTGATATCAACTGTTGATGTTAATAGCTCGAAGACGATATCCCTTGATATTTGGCCTAAAGAGAATATCTGATGGCACTATATCGTCTTGTGTGGTCAACTAAAGCCAGACTAGAGGCAAGGTATATATTGAAATAAATATAAAGTTGTTGAATATCTCAAGGGTATTGTATTTTCATGCTTCTAATTATCACTAAGTTCAGTTTACATTCAAACACTAGCAGATTTTTCTTGTCAACATTTCAAGCTAATTTTCATATTTTAACTTCCATACGGAGCCTGGCAGTCTCGTTTGTAATTCTATAGATTCAGGTACATGTACAATGACTTTTTGTATCACCAATGTTGGTTATGTTTTGATGGTAACAGATAATATAACTAAAAATTAAAAGTCAAAGGTTACCAGAGTTGCTGTGACGGTCGAGTAAGCTGAATCTAATCCATTGGGCGTTGGCCATCACTCAATCCTCTTGGGAAATGTCTTGTTTCAATGTCATTATATTTTTCGAGATGAGATATCGGCGGCTTTAGCGAATGTGTTGATTTACTTACGTAGAAATATTCAACTTGAATAAAGAGATTTACCCATCAAAACACGATCCGATTAAAATGCAGGTAAAAAATTCTTTGTTCTGCGTTTATTTTTCTTATAGCTTCCTGTCTATTTAGCGAGCGTTGTTAGCCCACTGGAAAAAAAAAACCAAAACTAAATAATGGTCAGCATAAAAACAGATTGTCCAATATTTCAACTGTTTTCTATTTTTCAAAACAGGTGAATGGTTTCTGCATATTTTATCAAAGTTTTAGAACATAAATTGCTTACTGGGTAATCGTTAAAAATCAAAATCTTAATCTTGACAGTTTTGACAGGGGATAGATTTCAAACCTGTTTACCCTGCCGAGTTTCCAATGATTTATTTATTTTACTTGAAGAAAATACCAATTTATGTAATTCTTATCAATTCAATTTATTTCATTTTTAGATCATAAAATATATGTGAGCTATTAGTCCAAATGAAAAATAGACAAGAATAGATAGGTATAAGTCAATCATATGCACACGAAAGTCTTATACCTTGACTGTGATAGTCACCTTTCTTGTGTCACAAAATTTGTTTATACAGCCATTTGATTGGATTGTACGCAAATCAATACAGAAAGAGGCTGTAAGCAATATGTCAAAATGTTTACAGCCTTTACTTCAAAGGAGGACCATGACTGGCTGTAGTCACTAGCGTGCAATCCAATCAAATCGATGCATTGCATGATACTTGAAGGATAGCTATTGTAGTCAAGTTCGTCATATGTGTCCATACAATTTCTCAGTTGATATCGAAAAATCTTTCATGTACATCAAATTAGAAAAGCTTGAATCAAGAGTAGAAATAGAGTGGAATTCAGCTTAAGTGTAATGTTCCTTCTTAATTAGTGTGAAACTAATATGGTAATTTCTATCTTGTCTAATGTTGTTCATTTTCACTCCACCTTTAATGATATTAAAGTATTATAAATGTTATTTTCTATACATTAAAACATATAAAGGCTTTTAAATGAAATTGTAGGCGATATAAACCAGCGTGTATTTGACACTTGGAGCAGAAATAAGAACATTAAAATGACAAATGTTTCCATTATTATAAATGTTTCCATTATTATAAATGATTACATTATCATAAGTAAAGTGTTTTTTCTAACTAAATGCAATGCTCGTCTTGAAAACAAGCTGAACTGGTTAACCTTTAGTCTATTTTAAACGACATGCTTTTAGTTTATCAAAGTAATTGCATGTTTTCTTTTGCTTACTTACGATGCTCCCATTTCTTAAAAGGCTCTTGTGATAGCTAAATGGTTGCTCAGAAGTTAATGAAAATATAATGGTCCCATCTGATTATATAGATGAAAGATGACAGGTGCTCTATTTGGAGGAGTTGATTTGAGTCTTTAAAATATGTAAAATAGTCTTCAGAAGTACTAGAAATATACAAAAATCTCATAACTCCTTCAAAAATATCTAATTCTAATACGAATTTTACCAACAATATAACAATGACGATAAGTGACATCTATGAGAGTTACCGACAGCGCTGAGAAGAAAGAATATCGCTGAGGGTTAATGATATCTCTGAGAGTTAACGACAACGCTGAAAGTTATCAAAATCGCTGAGAGTAAAGGACATTACTGAAAGTTAATGGTAGGCTGGGGGTGAATGACAACGCTGAGAGTTAATGACATCTCTGAGAGTTGATGACATCGCTGAGAGTTCATGGCCCTTCTGAGAATTATTTTCATCGGTGTAAAGGAATGAATAGCATCACCTAGAACATCACCGAGAGTTAAAAGGATTGACCGAATTTACCGAGAGTAGGGCTGAAAGAAATTATTGAACGTAGAAAATGTTAACTGTCATTATTTAAATATGCAGATGGCCAGACAAATTTTTTCTTATAGAATATTACTTACTTGTACTTTAGATCATGATTTAAAGACGAGAATCTTATCAAATATTACTTACTTGTACTTAAGATCACGATTTAAAGACGAGAATCTTATCAAATATTACTTACTTGTACTTAAGATCACGATTTAAAGACGAGAATCTTATCAAATATTACTTACTTGTACTTAAGATCACGATTTAAAGACGAGAATCTTATCAAATATTACTTACTTGTACTTAAGATCACAATTTTAAGACGAGAATCTTATCAAATATTACTTACTTGTACTTAAGATCACGAATTAAAGACGAGAATCTTATCAAATATTACTTACTTGTACTTAAGATTACGATTTAAAGACGAGAATCTTATCAAATATTACTTACCTGTACTTTAGATCATGATTTCAAGACGAGAATCTTATCAAATATTACTTACCGGTACTTTAGATCACGATTTAAAGACGAGAATCTTATCAAATATTACTTACCGGTACTTTAGATCATGATTTAAAGACGAGAATCTTATCAAATATTACTTACCGGTACTTTAGATCATGATTTAAAGACGAGAATCTTATCAAATATTACTTACCGGTACTTTATATCATGATTTTAAGACGAGAATCGTATCAAATATAACTTACCGGTACTTTAGATCATGATTTAAAGACGAGAATCTTATCAAATATTATTTACTTGTACTTAAGATCACGATATTAAGACGAGAATCTTATCAAATATTACTTATTTGTACTTAAGATTACGATTTAAAGACGAGAATCTTATCAAATATTACTTACTTGTACTTATGATCACGATTTTAAGACGAGAATCCTATCAAATATTACTTACTTGTACTTAAGATCACGATTTAAAGACGAGAATCTTATCAAATATTACTTACTTGTACTTAAGATCAGATTTTAAGACAAGAATCTTATCAAATATTACTTACTTGTACTTAAGATTACGATTTAAAGACGAGAATCTTATCAAATATTACTTACTTGTACTTAAGATCACGATTTAAAGACGAGAATCTTATCAAATATTACTTACTTGTACTTAAGATCACGATTTTAAGACGAGAATTTTATCAAATATTACTTACTTGTACTTATGATCACGATTTAAAGACGAGAATCTTATCAAATATTACTTACTTGTACTTAAGATCACGATTTAAAGACGAGAATCTTATCAAATATTACTTACTTGTACTTAAGATCACGATTTTAAGACAAGAGTCTTATCAAATATTACTTACCGGTATCGAAATAATTTCACATGATTATGACCAACTATAACACATTTGACACATTTGACACATTATTCGTACAAACAATGCTTCTTTATTTCCAGGACTATGTTGCTGTATATGGTATGTTTACTAATAACCACGGTAACTGGTTATGGTAACTACAGACTTAGAATACCACATGGCGATAAAGTACCAGACCCGTGCCATCCGGGTAAAATATGGAGAGGTGTTGGCCATACTGGTGTTGAAGGTGGTGGTGCGAGAAATCCTTTTGGTTTAGATTTTGAAAAAGTAGGCAAGGTGAGCTATTTACTCCGTATACTTTCATTGTGTCAAACCATAACAAATAAAGTAAGTATTTCATTAAGCAAGTGAAAAAAGCTTTCAGCCAAACTTAACAAATATACATGGAAGAACAAAGGACTGTTCCATGATAGCATCGTATCCCGAATGTGAGTTTTGACATAGGGGATGTAGTTTAGTTGGAGATCTATGATAAGAATCTATTCATGTTGTAATCGTTTTCCAGATTACGACGCCATTGTCGCAAATACATCGACTGGAATGGTATAATGCGACAGTTACTTTTTGATCTTTTTCTGGAGTTATCGGAAACATAGGCGTCGGTTTGAAAATCAGCTTTGATCTAAAGGAAGCCATCTTTCGTATGCCATTGAGCCTTTGCTGACTCTGCATCTGCCATCTGTATCAGTCTACCATGTCAAGCATGACATACCTTAGACATTTTCCTCGACTGTTAAGTATCGGTTTATACTTTTTGGGAATGCTATGCATCCATGAAATCTACTGACTTGTATAAATAAGATAGTAGATTTGTCCCGCTCTGTTTACTATTATCCTGGAAATGTTTTTACTAAAACTGATTCTGTCATGGCCCAGCCTTCATAAATGTGGAAAATGTTACTACAAGAAACATTATCCTTTATCGTAAGATATTCTAGGAGAAATATACTTATCTAAAATAGATTCCATTCTTACATGAAGATGAGATCACGACCTTCGTTTCCGTTCAAGAATTAACGTGGCGTGCCACATGGCTGTAATATCTTACCAAAGTATTTTCGCATAATAGTACATCTAATATGTGTATATAATTTGTGAATCCACGAAAATTGAAAATCATTTCATAAGAAAACAACTGAATTCAACTCCTTAACATTCGTAGTACTAACTGAGATTATTTATGGCAAGTAATGATGTCTTTCGTTTTGTAGTCGTGTACCACAAAATCGAACCGGAAGTCTCAACTATTTTGAAATTCTGTTCCCAATCAAACAATACACTATTTATAATATAAACTTTAAGGAAGGTGCAGAGAAAAAGATCACCGTGATTTTTCTGTTTTTTGCTACACTTTCTGCGTTCATTCACCTTATATGGAAATATTGGAAATTGGAAAATCAAACATAGCTAATAATTAATCTATCTATAGTCTGTGTAACGAAAAGTCACAAGGATGTTAAACACATGACTTTTTTTATACTGAACTTAATGAAACAGTAGAATATTGTATTAGTCCCAACTTAACTTCCTGGACTTCATCTTCAATTCAAACTACACTCTTATTAATATAACAAAAATGATAAGAGTAAGACGCTATTCAAAGGCTGTCTGTAGGCTTCAA